TAAGCGGTCCAAAACAAACCATCTGTCGACATAATAAATACCGCTAAATTTAGTTTTTATTTTTGACTTTTATTTCGAATTTATTATTAATATTCTAATGCACAATGGCAGGATGAATCCTTTGTGACATGACGGTTATTTTCACCACGAATAAATCCAGTGGGCAGCTATCGTTATTACTATAATAAAATAGTTAAAAATATTTTTCATTTACAACTGCGATTGCTATGTTCCTTTGGTCTTCCACCGATATTTAGCCTTAATTAAGTTTTAGAAAACGTGTTGTGATGATTAGTGGCCGTTAGTCGATGATCATCCGGAAATCGTGAGATGCGGTAGTGGTGACATAGGTTTTAGAAAAGCCTTTCCTTTATCGTGTCAACGTTTCGATCTTTATTGAGATCATTTTCAGGGATGATGTTTTTCTATAACCTATGTCACACCAAACCGCATCTCACGATTTCCGAAAAATCATTTTTAGAAAACATTGAAGGTCATGTTCAATCTTTTTTTGGCCTTATAACAACCATAAATAGTTCCAGCCTATACCTTTACAAAAATAAATCAACTTTTTTCATTGTCTATAATAAATTCAGCTGATCTTGCAACTACGCGTATCTAATTATCAGGAAATTCTGTTCCTCTGATTTTTAAACTTAAAATGAGGAGCTATAGTTATTAGTCCAATAAAATTGCAGATTTGCTTGAAGTTTATTTGCTGTTTTGGTATTGTATCAACAGTATAGCAATAGCTATCAATTCAAAAACTGATAAATCATTTTCATTATCTACATTAATTTCCCCTGGTTGTTGTAACAAAGAATGAGTTACGTTCCTCTAGTCTTGTAACATAATGTGTGCAGCTATCGTCCTTAGTAATAGAACTAACGACTGTTCATCTCCAGTCAATTAATATTTTAATATGTTAAACAAAGATGTGGTGGTGTACAAATTAGTTTAAACACCGAACTACCAGAACGAAGAAAAAATTATCAATTTTGATCGTATTTCCTGTCAAAACATGGATGTCTTTTGCAATGTGAAGATTAGTTTTCTGTGTTCAATAAAACCTCCGTTCTGTATTTAAAAACTTTGTAGTCGCCCGATGATATTATTGAAGTATCGATAATAGTGCGTCGGCCGCCTGGCCTCGCTGATTTCCTTTCTGTGGTACGTTTTGGCGATATGCCATCATCGATTAAGACATGAGTAGTGTTGAGAATCACGGATTTCAAAATCTTTTGGGAAAAAGATGAAAAAAATAAAGGTTAATACCGTTCACCTACTTATAAAAGGAAATGGGATTGCTAAAAAACGATCCAGTTTTATATGCTAATTTTCTATCAATAAAATCCATAAACAAAGGAAGTCCTTACGAAAAAGAGGAAATCCTATCAGACTCTTCTGTAAGCGTTAGAAGTCCGATAAAAATAAACACCCATCACTTATCATTTAGTGAAATCCATTTGATAAGTGTCGCAAAAGTCAAATGGGTAGCGATTTCATTTAAGTCCGGACGTTTCTGAGAGTTTTGTCAAAAAAGCATTTTCACCGCGACGCCTACTCCTCTGCCGGCGCCCTTTACCCTCGTCACGGGCAAATGTATTTCCAATAAGTTGCCCTCTCTTCTCAAAGTGCTGTTGAACCCCCTTTCGCCCAACCCCTTTACCAAAACCCCGCTTCTCGATTCGTTTGAACAAGAGCGAAAGGTCAAGTAGTCGGGACGACTGGAAATCCTGTCGAAAAAAGCAGGAGAGGCTCCCACTCCATTTTAAAATGCGTTTTTTTTTCTACAAAGCTGATATTTATCATTTTGCACTTTATTTCAAACCCTTTTAGACGTTACCAATTGTTTTTGCAAAAACCAACATTTACTCGATAACAAGCCTTTCCTGTCGATAATGGATTGGAGGAAGATGCTCTGCTGGCATTTTTAAAGTTCGATTATTATTATTAATTTTTCAAAGAATTCCATACTTATATACTTCTATTTTTTAATTATGAAGATTTGGATGAAGATCAGCTGTTCTAAACTCAGCGGAACTTGTTAAAAAAAAGGTCTTTGACTTCTTAACACTAACACGTCTTTGTTATTATATCAACTGAAAGACAAAATAGTTATCAACTAAATGAACTATATGTTTTTATTTGGTTCAATTAATCAAACTAATTACTTTAATTATTATACAATGTAAAGTAGAGTTGAAAAATTAGTGTCCCGTGCAGGACTTGAACCCGGCTCTTTTACCATTTGAGCTATGGTCTCTCCTCTAGACACAGCTAATATATAGGCCGCTTGTGACACTAATTTTTCAATAAAACTATTCTTTGCATAATAATAAAAGATAATTATGTTCGTTGCTTTGACTGTAAATATACCCACTGCTATATATTTTGGCAGTCAATATGACAATAATTCTATTTTAAAAAAAGAAAAAAAAACAGTCAAATTGTAGGGACTAATATTTTTCGCTCATTAATTCTTTGCCCTTCCATTCATTCTGAAAAGAAGGGCGTGAATCACAGTTACCCCCAGTTTGTCCTCATCCTTTTGAGAGGTTCCCCGTCCCTGTTCCCCTTCCCTACGCATCTTGGAAACTTTACTCTACCCGGCCTTTTTACAGGGCCGTAAATCCGTATTATTGTCGTAATCCGGCTTATTGCGTCGAGTGTCATTACGAAGAGGCCGGTACACAAAAACGCGCCTCGGCCCGCACTCGGTCTCGCCGTTTACACGACAGTTTCTCGCTCGTTCTCCCGCCCCTAAAACGACGGGGTGAAGCTCGTGGATCAAAAACGAAAATAACTTTTTTTTATTGATTTTTACTTTGAAAAACAATTACAATAGTAAAAATCCTGTATGAACAAAATTGACATGAAAAACATGTGAGGAGAACTCACCCAGTGGTGAGCCTCCTTTACACGAAATAAATATTGACCATTTTTTTAATTTTCTTCGTCGCTATGTGGACATCAAGTGGCCACCGGCATTTGTCGACAGGGAGGATTATCTGGGGTGATAGAGGAATTGAGCTGTCTGGCAGGCATTGGGATATATGAAAAGCGATTGATGGAATTTTTTGTAATAGCTTTTCGCTACTTCTGGAAGAAAGGGAACATTAAGTTCTCGGCGTAGGGCAAAGTACATAATAATACATAATAAGGAAGGTTAACTATTTATCGTAGGACTTTTAGTAGTATTGGAGTTGGAATGCTTAGTTGCCCACCAGCGTTCGTTGCCATAAGTCCACAGCTAACTTTAAACTTCGGTAAATACACAAGGTCGTGAAATCATAGCAATCGAACACTTCGCCTAAAAAATAAAAATATGAGCACGTTCCAGGACGATTGCTATTTTCTCTTACAGTCATGAAGGCCCCTTGAGGCCTTATCCTCACATGGGTATAAAGGCAAAAAGAGTATGGAATTGTGTGGAAACCCTGGTAGAAATCAATACATCAATGGCCTGACTCTTGCATGACTCCCTGCGCATTCGGAACATAGATACAATGAGAAAGTGGACATATTTGCCAGAAACGTAACCATTATGAGGCTCTGAACCCTATTGTGGTCTATCACCTTCCCACAAAAAAGGATACATCCAAAAATGGCTCCACAGGGCTGACGTAGTGCGAAGCGTAGTGACAAAGTGATGAGCTGTGGCCTGCTCGCGGCTTCAAACAATTTTTAAAAGACAATAGTGAATTTAATAAAAAGTTCATTTGATACTTATGTATACTCAATATCTGCAAATAGGGAGCCCATTCTAATGTTGGCTGAAATAAAATGTTTAATTTGAGCGGATGTAATTATTAGCGTGAACGTTGAAGTATGTTGTTTGCTGATTGCTGATTTACATAAACTCAAATTTGCACATGTATGTACATATGTGAACAAGTGTACATAATTGAGCCTAAAACCTCTCGCAGTCCACCGGCAAATCAAATTGTATAATTTTTAATAAATTATCGGCAGAGCTCGAGAGTTGACCACTTCGGGTATTGGCACATTCATAGAGCCATTGGACAAAGGCAAGACTTTCAAAGAAATTACGGGAAGGTAACGTAAACTAAAAGTAAAGGTAAACGACAACAGAACCAGGATTCTCGTAGGACTTAAACAGGCCCATGCACTAGATAGAAATACAGACAGAAAGAACACAAAGTACTGCCATGAAGAAGAGGGTATATGCAGGTGCAGATTCTTTCAACTAGGAGAGGAAAAGCCGCAAGATCCTACACCAAGGCTATGGAGGTTGAGGTCAACCTGATGAAGGCCAGTGAGCTGTAAAAACAAAAAAAAAAAGATACATAGAAGAGCACAATAGACTTAGTCTGATCGAATTTCGGAAGGCCTAGTGGCCGCCTCATATATCCCTATCCCTAACCATGGTTGTTGAAAAATGATGATGAAATTCGTCAAAAATAGTAAAATATCAATTTTTTTATCAAACAGGCCACTTTAAGCCTTATTTATTTAATATATTTCTGTCTTAAAGGGCTTTGAGAAAAATGGCGAACATTAAGATATGGAATGGTCGGGTAAGCTGAAAACAAACTCCATAACCGATTGAGTCGGTAATTGCGTTGACTGGGACAAAAACAGCGATTTGAAGTTGTTTATCGCTGGCGTTGTCAAGTGGATTATAGAGGGTTTCTCTTAAAGTAAAAAAATTAGGTCCGATTTTACCAATTACTATGATTGTTCAAATGAGACTTCAACCCAGGCCATAAAACGTCGTCGGAACGAGGTTGTTCCACGCTATCGCAACCACTACAGCCAAGCAATGATTCAAACAAAAAGAGCCACATATTCGGATTGTTCCCTGATTTATTGTTCGAAACAGTTTTTCTTTTTCAAAAACCTATTTTTCAGGCTCAGGTCTCGTAAATCTGCCAACGTGAATGTAAATCAATCGTCAAACTTCGAACGAGACCTCGACTGCTGTTAATACCAATTTTTTAAACAATTTAATTAATGAGTGTTTTTGTCTGTTTCAGATAGTGATGGTGGGAGGAGGCGGGGAGTGACTATGGGAACACAGGGATGGGAATGCAGGCAGTCCTCCATCCTCTGGTCATCATCTTCATAGCTACCGTACACAGTCAGTGTCATTTCAAACATATAATCTTATTGTTCTTGTCTTACAAACGAAAAAGCGATAAACTTTCACCGTAGAGATATCGATCGAACAATTTTAGTTTTCACAGGCTTGTCAGTCCCTTCGAGTTTTTTTCCCCTAGGTCCGACGTCGGAAGGTAGACGTTTCAGCTGGTCAAAATGGTTTGTATATTTAGACGGTCATTTGTATGATCTGTCATCCACGGTGATATGATGATAACAATCGTGTTAGCAGCTCAATTTTGCCCAACCCGCCATATTCGTTGTCACCTCGCTTTCGCACTTGTCAAACCTTCGAATGGTATTCTACATTAATTTATTTCTAGCTATCTTTGATTAGTAGCTGAATATGTTCGATAATTATTAAATATGTTCTGAAAGCTATAGAGTAACGTTTAATTGATGTAATTATCATATACGCGATTATGAAAGCCCATGAAAGCCTTTGAAATCACCAAATTGTTTATCTAAGCAGCCAAAAGATGCAGTAAAATTTTTAGAATCTAATGTACGTTTCTTCTGAAGAATTCTTCACCAGGTTAGGTTCATCTGCATTAAATACCGCTTAGAATAATACAAATGACAAAAAATTATAGAATGAAGTCAACAGGAAATTATTTACGGATTTATGAACAGAAACAATTATAAGACAAAAATAAGGTCATCTGTACAGTTACACATATAATTTACACCTAACGTTTCGTTTAACTTGTCCGATCTTTAATTAGTTTATTTTTGGCTATGCATTTTGTGTCTCAGGTTCCACTTTAAACATAAGACCTTATTACAACTAAATGTTAAAATGACTGAAAATGTCAAAATTAAAAGAAGACGAATCCTTTTGAAGAATTCAAACCTTACGCAAAGAAAACATTAACAAATGTCCTGGACCTCATAGCCCTACCTTTCATACACGATTTCTTTTAAATACATTAATTATTTTTTTAAGCCCGAAATGTATGGCCAAAATCAATTAATTGTTGGAGAAGTTCAATTAAATACTTAAATATGATTAAATCAAACATCCAAGGAAAACAAGGAACTGGAAATAATGATAATTTTTCAAGTGGATAAGCTAGATAACAATAAAAAATATTTCGAACCTCACAGTAATCCTTCCTTTTCTAAGAGTACAAGGATCGGCCTACTCCGACTATTACCCTCTGGGAGCGGGAGTAGCTCAGGGTATATGGACTTCCCCTAAAAGCACATATCCCAACTTCATCCCGTTTCAACAACAAAAATTTACAATCTACAAGACAATATTAAAACCAATCTAGAGATATATGCTAGAACTGTGGAACACCGCAAAAATTCCAACATTCAAAGAATACAATCCTTCCAATCCAAATTTAGAACCATAGCCACACTAACTACGTCTCAACATCACTCTTCACAATGACCTCAAAATCCCTTCCTTGCAAAAAAATAACCGCCAAAACATTTTCTACATTCCACACCAAACTCTACTCCACCCCCATCGAATTGCCCAATCCAGAAATCGCCTTTATAATCCCACCAGACGACCGAAAAATGGCCTCGCGACCTACTAAACGAGGAGAAGCCTCGCTTATAGTTGGGATAACAATAAGTTTTTTTAACCCCCATCGCGACACATGATCAATGCCAAACTAACTCGTTATAAAATGCATATAAGGTTGCAGATCCTAATAAATATATTAAATTAAAACAAAACTTTTGTTTATGATTGCATTTATATGTATTATTTTTTTAAGCCCCGAAGCGTTACCCATATTAATATTTTTAATTAATATTTCGAGAAGTCAAATAAATACCTAACTATTTTTAAATAACAACAAAGGAAAACTAGGTGCTTTTTATAACGATCATAATTTCAAAAGACCATTTTCAACAAAAATACAAAATAACCCTCTTCTACTTAGGGGGGGAACTTTGTGAAAAAAAGTCAAGAACTAACATCTAAGCATTATTAGTGAAATGTCACAATGTGTCACAAATAAAAATATAATTTTGCCATCTATATCTGTTGACAAAACAGCAATCAGGATCCATTTATTGTCACGCGATCGGGGCTTAAATCAAGTAAATAAGTTCTTGATTTGTAATGGTTTGTGTTTTAAATTTATATATAACAGGCCGAAGTGTCAATTACGTGGTCACAAATTGCAGAGAATAATTTACTATTTTTTTAATATGTTGGGAACTTGATTAAGAATTATAAAAATTCACTACCGCCTAAATAGATCTATTGTCGAACCCCTGTAAATTATAGGCATACTTTGGAAAGGGCAGTTTTTCTTATAAGACTAGGTTCCTTGTGCCTCTTCGCGCACCTATTTTGATGTTTGCCTTACCGAAGTGGCAGTACAAAGGATATGTGTCGATATCTCTGGTTCTCATGACCAGTCGTCATGTTTTCGTCTCAGCTTTACTCATATGCTTTAGATGATACTTAAGAGGGCAGTAGCCGGTATAGAGGTAATTCTATAAATTACCTAAAATTCTGCCTGCTGAGAGTGAGAAGGTCCTTCGCTTGCTTTTAAAGATTTATAAATCTCATAGTTGATATCATACCTATCCAGTGATTGATTTTTTCTTTCTCAAGCCATTTTTCCAGTCCGACCTAAGCACACATTATGGTGACAGTATTAGTTCTCATCCCAGGATGAGAGGGTTGTACCTTTTTTTGGCTAGATGGTTAAACCTATTCATTTCCTTCTACGCTTCATGTCCAGGAACCCACATTAATGTAATCTTGTTTTTCCTCCAGAATTATTAGACAATTTAAGCACTCCCAGATAAGTTTGGAGTTGAAAGCATAGGCTTTTAGTGCCTTTATGAATAACTAGATATCTGAGAATATGTTAATCTGTTCACGTATCATATTTTTCTTTAGTAATTTTTGTGCAATTCTTGTACAAAACACGTTTTGCTTGGGTATAATTCGGCCCTTTTATCCCAGCACTTACTCCTTGTTTCATCTTTGATCGATTGGTGGGTACGATTAATTATTTAATATTCGAGGTAAAACAAGTACTTCATGATAAGCCTATAACATAGAGCTTTTTCTTTTTCTTAGTTATGATACATTTCATACTTATAAAGATCGACTTGAATTTTGTCTTTGTTTGTACAGCATTAAACAAAAACAAATAGACTATGTCTTAATGTCCACAGTACGTCGAACAATATAGATTGATGACTTTAGTTTTGCGAGAGGAATTGGTGACAACTGTCTTTTTGCAAGTTTATTCCTTCATTAACTAAACTTCCAGTTTCTTGAGCAATATTGAGATGGCTTTTAATTAATTAAATTTAACTTTGGGTACTGCCAAATTGCTAAAGTGAAAGACTCGACTCGTAGTCCCCGCGTTCGTGGGTTCCATCCCACCTATACCCCTGGCATTTTCTTTCCCGTTGCCCTCCCCCAAAAAACATGATATATACCTACGTAGTACCTAATATGTAAAAACATAAAGTCATTAAAAGTTGATTTTATTTTATACAGATTTTTTGTTAGTGTGTGGGTTCCCTTCGGCACCGATTAGGTGAAGGGTACTTAAACAACCAGCGCTTTATTTCTCACTCGATCCATAAATCATGAGCTGATATTATTTTTGAGTACGTTGGTCAGGCCGAACGATTCAAATGGAAAACGGCTTTGCCAGTGTAATTTATCCATCATTAATCTCTCTCCCCTCAGTGACAGTTCATTTCGTTTTATTTTCCGATGTAATTTGATATCGCTCGAAATGATTCTACGTCAAAGTCCAAACATTTTCCTTTTCCGAGACAAAAAACAGTAATTATTTGAAGTGGGGTTGAACTTGTTTTAAATAAATTGGCAAAATTTTAACTTTATCGTTATTATTTTCATTCTTCAAATGGACTTATACTTTTGAACTATTAACTATTGAATTATGTTGCTAGTTTTAGACGTCAGCGTGGTTTATTTCTTAACCCTCGCATTTGCAATTCCATACAGACCACCCTTCGTTAGGCAACATTTAAAAATTTCAAGGTGAACCCCCTTGAATAAATGAATATCCCCATCACCCTATCGGCTATTGAGATAGCCAGGGCAAAGAAAGATAATCTCCGTGATAAATCTTGGACTTTACACATCGTAATTCATCATAAGTGTTTTAGTGCGTGCCGGCTAAATATTCACTTCCACGTGCGGCCTCGAAAAGTTACGCCGGCCTCACGCGAATCGGCCAGTTTTTAATTTTAGAACCGGCGAAGGACCGCCAGCTGACGGTTTTATTTTCCCAACGGTGAATTTCAAAACTTTCTATCAGAAAACTAAGAGAGGAAATCTGTATGAAAAAGTTCACGACAGCTAAAGTTGATGAATGCATCAGTGAATTTTCAAAGCGAATGAAATAAGCAAATACACCTGACTTGGCATATGCAATTAATTTTATACGGTGATGGGACTTAACTCATTAATTTGCCGGAACTTATAAGGACATTCATCCCAAAGGGTTGTCCCTTCCCGGTGTGCTGATCCTAGGATCTATAGCTCAGGGGAGTCCACCTATCCTCTTGTGTGGCTGGGTCGCTAATATTTCCCTTAAGCCCTATGCCCCGGAGATCGTCGCTTCCCACCCAACGGGGGCTTTCGATTAGGTAATTTCAGCCCACATTTGCAAACTATAATATGACTTAAAACTAACTTTTATAATACAGTCGCATAAATAAATACATTCCCACCTATGGATGTACATCACTCACTCAGTTTAGTCGGTGAAGTACTTGTTATTCCTCCATCGACCTAAACACAATAAGAATAATTTAATATAAATTAGAATCGATGGGGAATTTTCGTAAATGTTACACACACATTGTTGGAGAGGCGATGGTAACGATTTCACCATCAGCCAAAACAAAATACATTAAGCAGATTTATGTACAATAAAAAAAACCACGTTCTCAAAAAAGCGAAAAAGGGGACACCGAAACTTGCTGCTCAAGAAACTTCCTTAAAGTCAGTGGCAT